GCGTAGGATCTCCTCCGCGAGGGGGGCGCGCATTGTTCCTGTAGCGTTTGCTCCAGCTTCAGACCCCCCTGGATTTCGGCGAGCCAAAGCGGAATTGGCTTAGCATCACTTAATTACATTCAGCCTTGGCCGGTCTGCCGAGCTGCAGGTGGAAATCGCAGCCGTGCCTCGGAGAAGAACTGAGCGGCTTCTGTGAGGTTCCTCTGTTTAAAGTCGAGCTGCGGATGCTTTGGAGGTGGGGGAGGCGTTTGGTTTGGGAGGCTGTAATTCAGAGACTGTGCAGCTTTTATAATCCCCCCCCCCACACCTACCAGCGTATGTGACACATGCATCCAGGCCTCCTGGCCCCCACTGGCCCGGCCATACCGTGCGTATCCTGGCCTGCAGAGACCCACACTAAACCCCTTAAGAGGATAAAGGGCTTACTCCATGCTTTAGCTATTAGTAAGCAGGGTAATTGTATGCTTTTAGAGCAAGTGGGTTAGTTTTTAAGGAAAATTCCGGTATAATGGACCTCTGAATGTGCTGAATCACTGTAGTGTATTTGTGAGCGGGTCGCAGATAAGCCGGATGGACCGGCTCTGTCGGGTGGCGGGATTTCTGTGGCCTGGCAACCCAGGGACCTACCAAACGCGGCCAACGGTCCTGCTCTCTGTTCCTGGGGTCTTCTGATTTTTAACAGCCGTACTGCCAGAATTGATTTGTACGGCCCTGTTGGGAGGGTAAGGTAATGGTAATGTGGACCCCAACTGAGCGAGAGGACGGTCAGGGCCATTATGTGGGGGTCTGAACCGGGCAGGGTGCCCGCTCTCTGCCAGGGGAGCCACAAGGTGCCCGCTTGCTCTTGCTGGCTGAGATATCGGTCAGGGCTCTTCCTTCGCCTTCAGCCAGGTTGGCGCAGCATGAAGGTTGGGCCCCTGTTAAGCTTTAAACGTGCTCTGCTGCGCCCCCTTGTGGTGCATTACCTCAAGTCCTGCGTAGGCGACGTCTTACTAATGCGATTAGCGTTGCGTACTACGCGTGTCACTTCCACCACGATTCATACACTTTACAGTGGCTTCTTGGTACTGGTAAGGTCACCTCCAAGAAAGCGTTTGTTACGGAGGAGCTGACAGACGCTTCCAGCAAGCAGCCTGTGGGTTGTGTTTATTCTTTTAGTCTTTCACTTTAAAAAAAAAAAAAATGGAAAAATGTTAGCTTTGTCAGGCAGGGAACGGATCGGTCCCGTGAGAAAAGGGAAAAGTACAAATGTTTGGTACGCACTGCCTTTC